CACAGTGCAATCAAATTAGAACTCAGGATTAAGAAACTCACTCAAAACTGCACAACTACATGGAAACTGAACAACCTGCTCCCAAATGACTACTGGGTAAATAATGAAATGAAGGCAGAAATAAAGATGTTCTTTGAAACTAATGAGAACAAAGACACAACGTACATTTAAAGCAGTGTGTACAGGGAAATTTATAGCATTAAATGCCCACAAGAGAAAGCAGGAAGATCTAAAATCAACACCCTAACATCACAAATAAAAGAACTACAGAAGAAAGAGCAAACAAATTTAAAAGCTAGTAGAAGGCATGAAATAACTAAGATCGGAGCAGAACTGAAGGAGATAGAGACACAAAAAAACCCTTCAAAAAAATCAATCAATCCAGGAGCTGGATTTTTGAAAAGCTCAACAAAATTAATAGACTGCTAGCAAGACTAATAAAGAGGAAAAGAGAGAAGAGTCAAATAGATGCAAAAAAATATGATAAAGGGGATATCACCACTGATCCCACAGAAATACAAACTACCATCAGAGAGTACTATAAACACCTCTATGCAAATAAACTAGAAAATCTAGAAGAAAGGGATAAATTCCTGGATGCATACACCCTCCCAAGACTAAACCAGGAAGAAGTTGAATTTCTGAACAGACCAATAATAGGCTCTGAAATTAAGGCAATAATTAACAGCCTACCCACCAAAAAAAGTCCAGGACCAGATGGATTCACAACCGAATTCTACCAGAAGTACAAAGAGGAGCTGGTACCATTCCTTCTGAAACTATTCCAACCAATAGAGAAAGAGGGAATCCTCCCTAACTCATTTTATGAGGCCAGCATCATCCTGATACTAAAGCCTGGCAGAGACACAACAACAAAAGAGAATTTTAGAGCAACATCCCTGATGAACATCGATGCAAAAATCCTCAATAAAATACTGGCAAACTGGATCCAGCAGTACATCAAAAAGCTTATTCACCACAATCAAGTCAACTTCATCCCTGGGATGCAAGGCTGGTTCAACATACACAAATCAATAATCATAATCCATCACACAAACAGAACCAATGACAAAAACCACATGATTATCTCAATAGATGCAGAAAAGACCTTCGAAAACATTCAGCAGCTCTTCATGCTAAAAACTCTCAACAAACTAGGTATTGGTGGAACATATGTCAAAATAATAAGAGCTATTTATGACAAACCCACAGCCAATATCATACTGAATGGGCAAAAACTGGAAGCATTCCCTTTGAAAACTGGTAAGACAGGGATGCTCGCTCTCACCACTCCTATTCAACATAGTGTTGGAAGTTCTGGCCAGGGCAATCAGGCAAAAGAAAGAAATACAGGATATTCAATTAGGAACAGAGGAAGTCAAATTGTCCCTCTTTGCAGATGACATGATTGTATATTTAGAAAACCCCATCGTCTCAGCCCAAAATCTCCTTAAGCTGATAAGCAACTTCAGCAAAGTCTCAGGATACAAAATCAGTGTGCAAAAATCACAAACATTCCTATACAGCAATAACAGACAAACAGAGAACCAAATTGTGAGTGAACTGCCATTCACAATTGCTACAAAGAGAATAAAATACCTAGGAATCTAATTTACAAGGGATGTGAAGGACCTCTTCAAGGAGAACCACAAACCACTGCTCAACAAAATAAAAGAGGACACAAATAAATGGAAGAACATTCCATGCTCATGGATAGGAAGAGTCAATATAATGAAAATGGCCATTCTGCCCAAGGTATTTTATAGATTCAGTGCCACACCCATCAAGCTACCAATGAGTTTCTTCACAGAATTGGAAAAAACTACTTTAAAGTTCATATGGAACAAAAAAGAGCCCACATTGCCAAGACAATCCTAAGCAAAAAGAACAAAGCTGGAGGCATCATGCTACCTGACTTCAAACTATACTGTAAGGCTACAGTAACCAAAACAGCATGGTACTTGTACCAAAACAGGCATATAGACCAATGGAACAAAACAGAGGCCTCAGAAATAACACCACACATCTAAAACCATCTGATCTTTGACAAACCTGACAAAAACAAGAAATGGGGAAAGGATTCCCTATTTAGTAAATGGTGCTGTGAAAACTGGCTAACCATATGTAGAAAGCTGAAACTGGATCGATCCCTTCCTTACTCCTTATTCAAAAATTAATTCAAGATGGGTTAAAGACTTAAATGTTAGACCTAAACCATAAAAACCCTAGAAGAAAACCTAGGCAATACCATTCAAGACATAGACACAGGCAAAAACTAAAATACCAAAAGTAATGGCAACAAAAGCCAAAACAGACAAATGGGATCTAATTAAACTAAAGAGCTCTGAACAGCAAAAGAAACTACCATCAGAGTGAACAGGCAACCTACAGAATGGGAGAAAATTTTTGCAAGCTACCCATCTGACAAAGGGCTAATATTCCGAATCTACAAATAACTTAAACAAATTTACAAGAAAAAAACAAGCAACCCCATCAAAAAGTGGGTGAAGGATATAAACAGAGACTTCTCAAAAGAAGACATTTATGCAGTCAACAGACACATGAAAAAGTGCTCACCATCACTGGTCATCAGAGAAATGCAAATCAAAACCACAATGAGATACCATCTCACACCAGTTAGAATGGCAGTCACTAAAAAGTCAGGAAACAACAGACGCTGGAGAGGATGTGGAGAAACTGGAACGCTTTTACACTGTTGGTGGGAGTGTAAACTAGTTCAACCATTGTGGAAGACAGTGTGGTGATTCCTCAAGGATCCAGAACTAGAAATACCATTTGACCCAGTGATCCCATTACTAGGTATATACCCAAAGGATTATAAATCATGCTACTATAAAGACACATGCACAGGTATGTTTATTGTGGCACTATTCACAATAGCAAAGACTTGGAACCAACCCAAATGTCCATCAATGACAGACTGGATTAAGAAAATGTGGCATATATGCACCATGGAATACCATGCAGCCATAAAAAAGGATGAGTTCATGTCCTTTGCAGGGACATGGATGCAGCTGGAAACCATCATTCTGAGCAAACTATCACAAGGACAGAAAACCAAACACTGCATGTTGTCACTTATAGGTGGGAATTGAACAATGAGAACATATGGACACAGGGTGAGGGACATCACATCCCAGGGCTTGTCATGGGGTGGAGACCAGGGGGAGGGATAGCATTAGGAGAAATACCTAATGTAAATGATGAGTTGATGGGTGCAGCAAACCAACATGGCACATGTATACATATGTAACAAACCTGCACGTTGTGCATATGTACCCTAGAACTGAAAGTATAATTTAAAAAAAAAAAAGCAGTTTTCATTCGCTCCTGCTAGAATCCTAAATGTTTCAGCTATTTTGTGACTTCTTTTAGGATAATTTGTTGATTTGAATTGTCCACATCATGAGAGCAGGAAACTTTCAGATCCCTTTCCTGGTCATGGTGTTTCCATTTCCATTAGGTGACTCTCATATTTTTTCACCTGAAGCCCAAGTGTATGCCAAGATCCTTCCCACATCCCTGAACCAATGGGCCTATTCTAATCCCTTTTTGGTGGACAAGGCACCCTTTAAGACTCACAGCTTTACTCGGGATTAGCATTAATAGTTTTTCTTTTGGAATACATATAACATCCTTACGTATGAATTGTAAGGGTACTTTTAAATCACTGCAACATACCGAAGGTTTGTAGACATCAAGGCTGAATGCACTACTACATTAAGACAATACTTTCATTTATTTAAATACATTTTTAAAAGGATTATCATGTCATTGTACTTCCCAACATAATTAGAAGGAAAAGAGCCAGGACACAGACCTTCCCAAAAAATAGGTTGCAGAACAATATAACCTCCTTTTTCTTAAGAGCAAAAGTAACCATCATTCTTCCTCTTGTCTTTAAAAAATAATTTCACACCCCTTGAGGTTCACTGTTCTAAATTTCTTTTGATGAACAAATTCATACATCATAGGCATCAAACTGTTTAAAATTAGACAATAAGCTGGGCATGGTGGTTCACACCTGTAATCTCAGCACTTTGGGAGGCTAAGGTGGACAGATCCCTTGAGGTCAGGAGTTTGAGACCAGCTTGGCAAACATGGTGAAACCCCGTCTCTACTAAAAACACAAAAATTAGCTGGGTGTGGTGCTGTGCACCTGTAATGCCAGCTACTCAGGAGGCTAAGGCAGGAGAATTGCTTGAACCTGGTAGGCAAACGTTGCAGTGAGCCGAGATTGAGATTGTGCCACTGCACTCCGGCCTGGGTGACAGAGCAAAACTTTATCTCAAAAATAAATAAATAAAATATAATTAGACAATAATTCACTGAATTGATGGGAAAATCTTATTTTGCACTTTATAATATTGACATCTACTGACATATACCAGCAAACTTTAATTAAGAAGGATTCTGATCAGTTCATTTAATTTAATTTTAAATATCTAAAAGAGTAATACTATGTAGTTGGGTTTTTCAGTAATTTCATTAACCAGTCTCTATCTTCCAAGGTTTTACAATGTCTGTAACTTTTTGCAATATAATGCTTGTATTTCTTTTCAGCAGGATTTAGCCTAGCATCATGAGTAGCGGATAGATAACAACAAAAATTTTTTTAATGTAATCATGGCGTTTCTAACAAGCATAAGTATTCTAAAATGTTATGCAAGCCAAAAAAGTTATTGGTAAAGTTCTAGGAAAATATATTATGAGAATACCATAATGAACCTTTAGTAAATTAATTTACAAACTCCTCTTTTATCAAAAAGTTCTGATTGCTGTTTGGTATGTCCCTTAAGGCAAGAGCTTGGCCTTAGCCTCTAGTGACAACCAACTTGTTGGTGTTTCAAAGCAAAACGCAATACCTCCTTAAAGGAAATTTGAAATGGCAAGACTGAGAACCAGATTATAGTGGGACTGCAAGAAACATAAAACCTCTTGGAAAATCTTAGCAAAATAAGTTAAATAATACTAGTTACCGGCAGCAAATCCATATCCATGAGGGTCGGCAGCAATCTCGATTCTTGCCTCCTCAGAAGGAAGAATTAGACTGAGGGGCCTAAGGCAGAAACAGGAACTGAGGTAAGTTTTAGAGCAGTAGTGAACGTTTATTACAAAGTTTTGAAGCAGGAATACGAAGAAGTAACATACACTTGGAAGAGGGCCAGCAGGCGACTTGAGAGAGTCAAGTGCATGGTTTGACATTTTGACTTGGAGTTTTATATACTGGCATACTTCTGGGGTCCTGTGTTACTTCTCTCCTGATTCTTCCCTCGGGGTGGGCTGTCCACATGCACAGTGGCCTGGTAGCCCTTGGGAGGGGAGCACGTGCAGTGTGTTTACTGGAGTTGTACACATGCTCACTTGAGTCGTTTTTCCCTACCAGCCTTGCGTTCCTAGAGGAAGGTCATATACCAGTTAAACGCTGCCATTTTGCCTCTTAATGCGCATGCTTGAGTCCACTCGCCCAACTCCTGAGATTTTATTGGGAAACTGCAGCTCACCCGTTTCAGGTGTTTCTACCAATTGGAAGATGGCCTTTCCCTGGTGCCAGTTGTGACCAATTATTATTTTAGAGCGAGAGTTAACAACCACCTGACCATCACCTGATGGTTGCCTGGCATTCCTGGTATGGTGTTGGGGAGCCCTCTCCTGCCCTGCTCATGCCTGACTAGCTACTTACTGTAGCAGTATGAAGAAACAGGTTTTCTTCTATTTTACTCTATCATGAGTTCCATTTAATAAAATGTTAATTAACAAAGACCAATCATTGGCCTTTCTGGATTTAAAAAATAAATAATGTCTATTTAAGTGTATGATAAAATGTGCTTAATATAGTACAAAATGTATCACATTTTCCTAGAAATACGTAGATTAGTAGCAAGATAATGGGCAATGAGTAACATTTCCTTCAAGCTATTAAATTCTTTTAATGTTCCATAGTATAGGGAAATGTGAATCTAATTCAAGGTTATACTTTTAAGGACTCTTATCTGTATTTCTCCAGTGAGTTGTTATTTCAGAACATTTTGTAACTCTTAGTAGAGACACCTCTCATTTTATAGTCCTGCAAGTTGAAAAAAAAAAAAGCATTTGGGAGTTTCTGACACTACAAAGTTTAATTTTCCTAGCACAACTGAACTATTAGAAGTTTGACTGCTATCCAATATACTTAATGCCTTTTATGTTTCCTGTTCATTTTGGATGGGAGCAAAAGAAATGGGACTGAGTCATCTTTTAAGTCAGCCCCTTAAGAATAGAGGATTTAAGACAAGAGATTGCACAGGTGTGAGTTGCCTGACCCAGTGATCATATTATAGTAGGTGAAGGATGGCTTTAACTCTAATCACAAAAACACAGGAGATAGCCCTGAGTCCAAAGCCAAATTGAAAAGATGGGCAATCTGAAACATGGGGAATCTTATTAAACCAATCAATCAATCAAGAAATATTTATAAAATGCCTAAAATGTGTTTAGTGTTATTTTACCTATTAAAAATCAAACATTGAAGACAAGGAAAAAATAAATGCTTGAAGAGACAGAATATTATATTCTATATTAGATAACAATTTAAAGATAAAATCAGCCTCAAAAGAGGGAACCAAGGAGCAAAGAGAATACCAGTAAAATCAGAAGTGAAAAATAGAAAAACAATTGACAAAGAGAATTAAATGTGAATGTAGATCAAATAGCATTAATGAATACTTTTATAAAAAGCAATTGATTGGCTGGGCGTGGTGGCTCACACCTGTAATCCTAACAGCTTGGGAGGCTGAAGTGGGAGGATCTCTTGAGCCTGGAAGTTCTAGAGCAGCCTGGGCAACATAGTGAGATGGAAGGAAGGAGGGAAGGAAGGAAGGCAGGCAGGCAGGCAGGAAGGAAGGAAGTTGAATAAAAGGGTCACGCCTGTCCCAGAAGAGAAGGAAAGAATTGAAGTAACAAAACTGAGTCTAAGATAAAATAATGTCAGAACTAAGAAAGACCTCAGGGACCCAACCCCGGTTCCTCCAACTTGGAAGGCAAGGGCCAAACGAGAGTTGGTGTCCTGCCTTAAGATCACACCAAGAAACAGACCTCAGACTAGAACCCAAATCTCTGACTCCCATGCTGCCACTTGCAACACAAGTTCAGCTCAGGGTCTTAATGCAAAGAGAGAAATAATTAAAGCAGTGGCCATAAAGAGGGGGAAAAAAAAAAAAAGCTTGAGAAAAGAAAGAGAGGGCTTGAATGGAGGACACAGTAACAAGACATCGTTAGTAAGGCCTGAATTCTAGGAGGTCCAGCCAAGCAGAAGTGGATGTGTATTTTATTTTGACATGCCAAATAATTATTTGAGTTTTAAAATGCCCTTTGCTTTTTTTCATAACACTTACTTTTTTCGTGTTCATAAGCACTAAAATAGAATTTCAGAAACTTTATAGCACACTCGACCTTTTTCAAATCTCCCAGACAAACTCCAAACTCACCAGCCTTCCCCATCTCAGGAGTGTGAAATCTTATTTTCCAGTTCTCTGCTCAAATTTAACAAGCCACCTCCTGCTTAACCTTCTTCTGTGAAACCTGAAAGCACCAGACAATTGTATGCCCAACCCTTGCTCCTCCGAGCTCCCCCACTCTCCCCTTCAGGAGTCCATAGAACTGCAATTTCAAATCTCTAATAGCCCTCTGCTACCCCAAGTGTAATATAAACCTTAACTTCATATCTTTGCACCTTAAATATAAAAGAACCACCCCCCTCCACTTTAAAAAACAAAAACAAAAAAAAGTCTTTTTAACCATCCCCTCACCCTCTGGCTTTAAAAGAGCAACATTTAGAGAGCATTCAATTATCTCCAAAGTATCAAACACTGATTAAATAAATCTATGCCAAGACTGGGGTTTTGTTGATGATATTGTTGTTTCTACTGCTTTCTGCTGAAGATATACTCAGTGAAAACACTACGGCTCTCAATTAGGCAGCTGGGTGACTTATAAATATATATTTATGTTTGAAGCCTAAGTGGCCATTGGCTTCCCTACTGTTTTACTTAGCTAACAAAACAACTCTATCAAAGTAAGTATTATTCCAAAACCCAACTTCCTGTGCAGAATGCTCCCATATGCCCCATCAGTCTAGCTCTCTGATGAACTACATCGTTTCTTATAAACTGTCCATGGCCCATAAATTTCCAAGCATAAAGGCTATTACTGTGCTGTGCAAATCTGCTGAGAATTTGGGCCTTTCGAACTCCATTTTACCTGGTTGAAAATGACACTGGGGGAGAAAGTCCATCTGCAAACTTCCTCTCTTCTCCCTCCTTCTCAGGGTCACTTCCTATTTTGATCAATGAGAATTATTTAATGTGTACAGGACTGGAACAAAGGTTGCTTTTGACTAATTTTGAGCAACTTCTGTATGAAATTGGCTTTTTTTCTTCTTGCAAGTGCTACATAGCAGAGTAAAGAGAGATTTGGGCAACTTTCTAATTAATCTGGACAATGTCATTTAGAAAACTAAGAAGGAAAAAATAATCAATTTTTCTTGTCCTGGCTAAATAATTCTGTACAATAGTGGAAGAGGCATCACAAGAGAATACTTTAGAATCCCAGGGAATGGCTAAATCTAGTTTATATCAGTACAAATTATGCTATTCGAGACTGTATTCTAATCGGAAAACATAAGACTGCTACCAGATCTCTAGCCCAAAAATGAACAACATTACTGGGCATCATCATAATCACCACTGGCATCATCTGCCCTTATGTCTGTGCTTTGCAGTGTACAATAGGTTCCCAGACACAATCTCATTCAATTTTTATGAATAGGTACAAAGTGTTTAGAAGAAGAAATGGGGCATGGCGTGCCCTTGTCCCTGAGACTTCTTGACAGCTCATCACCAACTTCATTCAGTTTAATTTAACGATTAAAACAATAATGATGATACTGATAGCAGGTAGGCTATGCAGTGTGACCTGGAGGCCAGGCTATCACCAAGTATTCGCTACAAAGGAAATTAACACATAAGTTGATGTTTTCCAAAGTTACACCACTTAAATTTATCAACATCAAGTCTGATGGCTTCGAGAGCAAATGAATTTATCTCAGAATTTTTAAGACAAATGAGGATGGCTCCCCAAGTAAAGGATGAAACAGAAGAAAAGAAGGAAGACAGGAAGGGAGGGAAGATTCTGTTTATATCAAACATGATGTTTCAAGGAGGCGGGTTCCTTTTGCTAAAGAAGTGGTCTCACCTTGCCAGTCAACCTAGTATCTGACAACCTAGAATCTGTCTTTTCACCTTCACACTTCCATTCACATCTCATTAAGAAAACAGTGAGATGCTCTTGCTATTGTTAGTCTCTTTGACAGAGAATTGCAGTGTTTTGTTGAAGAATTCTCTCTGGCAATACAAGGAAATTGTGGCAGTTTGCATGATGTAGATATTTAGTGCAAAAGGGGCTAGTAATTTCTAGGGAGAAAAGAGAGGTTTTGCTTCCCTAATCACATTAAAAGCATTAAAAATTCTATTTTCAGGCACTTATAATCCTAATATGAAAATGTTCATCAAATAAACTAACTATAATATATCTAATCTAGAAGATTTGGGGTAGAGATGAACACAAAATGAAATAACATCTCAGCAACCCAGTGTCTGTATCTAAATATTCCTTTCAGTGAAGTCTTCCTTTCTAAATTACTGTTGCGTTTATAATATCACGACAGTTTTCATCTCTCATTTCTTGAAAAACATTGTTTATTTTACTATAATATATATTCCACAACAATTAGGATTTAGCAATGCCATCTTTTTCCCATATGTAATTCTCTATGCTATTTATATATGACTCTTACTAAAATTATCTTTCCAGCGAAATATTCAAAATTAATAACATGGTTCATTATCCATTACATACTGTTGAATGATTTGTAAAATCCTGACGTGAAAATCCAAAGTGATTAAAATATGATATAAAACTAGCACAAAAAGTTGTTTTTCATTGTTTACTCTGAAATTCATTTGTTTAAAGTGCTTATGTGTTGTGCAAGATAAAGTTACTCTCTCATGCAAGTTTTCTTTTAAAAAGATCATAAAATCTCACTGTGAATATTTAACTGAAGAGTAGTAACATAGTGTCAGATACTTACACAGCATAATGGTATAACACTCTGCATTTTGACATCTGTCCAGACAGATGTTTAAAACTTTTTCATGTTTGTCAGAATTTTTTTTAAGTTTTAGAAAAAAAGATCTGGGAATCATCTTTTGTACCATGCTACTTTTGACAATTTCACTGTCAACAATTTAATTAATTCAAACAGAGACAAGAAGTCCAGTGACTTACATAGGCATTCCAAGAAGAATTCAATCAAACTGAAA